GACAGGTTCAACTGTAGTTAAATAAAGTGTCATTCTCTTGATTGTATTGATATTAAATACAAGTACCAGTTTGATTTTAAATACAGAAACACATGATTCTCTAAGCCATTGTAGTTTATTGCAATATTTTTATTTGTACACATTTGTTCAACTTTGATTTTAACACATAATATTTTTAAAAGATTTGCTGATTGTTAATATCATAGATTTATAGATTCTTATTATCAGAGATTTCATGTTGAACACATTTACCTTCCATATAGTGTAAATACTTACTTCTCACTCTCTATACATATATGTAAGCTGGTATGTTGTTAAGGGAATGAACACCCTTCATCATCCTTCCTTTTATTTTTGTATTTCACTCATGCACCAACAAAACTTAGGTCATGTCATATGGCGTCGAAACAGGAAACATGATTGTTTTCTAACCTTACAAACTTAAGACAATATCAGGGCTCCAAATCAAATCTCCTAAGAAATGCATAGAATCCAGCCAAATAAGTCCTCTCTTTAACGATGGTAATACTGATGCCTCAACCCTTAGCCACAAGGGGCCTTCATCATTCAGATTGTTAATCTTAAAAGGGTCGAAACTTGATATTTCGAAACTTGATATTTTTATAGCAAGGATCTTTAGTAGAAAATAATGTTTTAATGCCCCATTATTGATTGAATAATAAGAACATGTTAATTTTTGTCCTTGTCAGCCTGCCTGGTAAAACATACAACATTTGACATCTTAATTAGATAGAGGCTTCAGATTCGATCTACAAATCTCTAGATAAAAAATCATTAAGACGTACTGATATGCTTGTATGACCTTTATCTTTATGTAAATTTAAATCGCCGAAATAACTGTAAGTTTTCCTTTCATGGAAAGAAAACATGTTTTATAATTATTGAAAATAGAAAGATGAAAGCTGCAGTTACATTAAGAAAGTAACATTGGAAGTGAAACAATCTGAATTACTTATTACTAATGAAATAACAAAAATAGCAAATAATTTAACTAAATCTCATACCTTTTTTGGGAATAACTGGGCCTTTGTATAAAATAATTGGGCCTTAATATCAACAATATGTCTACAATGGATATATTTCTTTGTACAAAGGGTGTTAACAATGATACAATTTTGTTTTTAGTTCATCATGGCAGCTTTTTAAGATGAACAAGTGAATTTTACAAACTGTTTTAGTTTCTTTATACAAACACTTGTATATATAGGTAGGAATTGTAAATAATGCGGATAATTTTATTTAATTTTTCAATTTTTATTTTATTTGGATGAGATGCATTATAATTTAACTCATTTGAGTTCTAGTAACATGTTATAAAATAGTGTGATAAAGAATTCTTGAAATATATAGGGTTATGGTTAGAATATTATGGTATTCAAATTACTAACCCATTCCTTACTCTACCGTATTTTTATTGTTGGCAATTATTTTTTTGGGAGTGAAAGAGTAAAATTTCTAAATATTTGAGTCACAAAATAAGCCATTTTTGGGTAAAAAATTTACTCATTAGATTAACAAATTTTGAAACCCCTGGTAACAGTAATTCAAAATTCCAAGTTTAATGTAGGACTAGTCTGTTTCATAAAAAATGCCATTAGATTAACAAATATTAAAACCCTTGGTAATAATAATAAATAATTCCTAAAACAATATAGGACTAGTTAACAATGTTATTATGAGTTTTTGTTTGCTTGTTAGAGAAAATGAAAGAATATTTATCATAGAAAGCATCAATATTAATCATAGAAAAATTGTTGCTGAAAAGTCTAGAAAATTTTACATTGTATTTAAAAGCAGCATGTCTCCAGATTCATGCAAATTTTCATGAAAATGTTAGTAAAATAACGTAAAGTGAACAAGGATATTAATTAACAAATTGCAAACGGCGGTTTCAATCCACATACATAAACAAAAAGAGATCAAAATATGCAAAAAAATAGCCCATACTGTGTTTGTAACGCAACAGAAATATAGTGATATATACTGCAAAATCAGAATCCCACATAAGATGTAAAATATTCCTTGAATCTTGAATTGTTTTTTTTTTTTTCTTAAATATTTTTGGCTTATCCCTGGACGCTTGAAAATGCTTGAAAAGGTTTATATCATAAGAAATATGTCAATGTGAATCATGTAAAGTTACTTTATGAAAAACAATATAGAAAAATAATGTTTCAAATTTTATGAAAATTATGAGTTTGTTTAATATAAACAATAAAGATGTTGATTCGTGTGTTGAATTATATTTGTGTCATAAAACATGACGTTGTTAAGGTATCTTTGTGATTTGTTATATTCTATCATTTCTCTAATTGTAATTTAATGTTCTGTTTTATACCATGTTTTATGAGAGAAATATATCATGTATAATTTAGTTTTATTGTGTTTAATTATTTCATTTATGCCAATTGGAAAATGATGAAGTTGAGGCAAAGAAATATTTTGTGTGCTTTTAATATATGCTAACATTTTTGTGCAACAGAAAGGATAATCCACCTCCCCTCTCAAATAAGAAAAGGAGTCAGTGAGAGTGAAAGCTAGAGTTAGGGTCTTAGTGTCCGACCAGAAGACATGTATACGAACAGTTTTAAATAAGGAGTGTCAAGGTTAGCAAATGTCTACTGTATACACGACGACTTAACAACCGTGTTAAAGTTCAACATACTCCATTTAAAGAAATCTTAGACTTTTAGAATTATAATTTTTATTGATAAGGTAGCATATTTTGTATGTATATTTTGATTACAAAATATATCCCATTATGGATAAATTGATCTTCGTAAGGATATAAGAACGCAAACAGAAAACAGTACATTTGGAATTAAAGTAAAACGTCATATCTTATCATAAAGAAACAAATGTAATGTTCAAATATCAATAAAAACTTTCTTTAGCTATTGGTCTAATAACCTATATTACTAATTATTAAATTTTCTAACCGGTCTAAAGGTTTAAACCGATTAACGTGTGTCAAGGGATGGACAGACAACAGCAGATAATACGATGAAAACAAAAATAGTAAAAATAAACAAATTTCTATTTACAAAAGAGATGAAAATATCTACAAATGGAAAAATAAAAATAACAGAAAAGTACGTCCTTATTCTTTGTTCTTATAGTACACATGTAGTAACACGTTGAAGTGACAAACTTATGTTCCTAGCTGTCTTTGCCTAATAGTGTCGGGCTCGTTCAATAGCATCGCTGGTTATCGTCATGTAGCGTCCTTGCCTATCGTGTCGGGGTCCTACACAACAGACTTCCAGCTGCCATTTTCATTGACTAAGCCGTGACATCCATCCCGGGGTTGAATGCTACAAAGAATTGGGCATCAAAAATGCTCCCCGTGGTACACAATACCTCCGCTGGCTCCTATAGTAAATGTTTTGAATAATAAAGATAAGGTGTCACGGTAGTCACTGTTTGTCATCAAATTTCTCACTGCAGTTAATTCTTACTATTACACATGTAATAAAACAAGTTCTCAATGATATTGAAATGTATTAATGATATATGAAAATTGTTTCATTAATTGATTAACTTGATATAAAGTAATGACGCAATTGAATAATTATAACAAGTATCTTACAGCTAGTACAATCTTACAATAAAATTTATAAATGAACACCGCATACATGAATATCAAGATGTATGACATACAAAGACAATATCGACGTTCCATATAATGATACACCGTATAGAACCCTGTCAATGTATAACAAGTGTATGCATATACAATTCAAAAGTATTTTCATATAAAATAGACCAGATTATTTTCCTTCAGTTATTTGAAAAGCAAAGCAATTTACGGTAATCTGTAATGATGAAGTTGGGATCATCTGCACTTCCGTAAAAGCAAATACGAAAATTTAAAACCACTGGAAATAAAATCGTATGAAAATACGAAAGCAAAACTTTAGAACTGCAAAAAATAGCCAAAATCCAATTTAAATATATTAACTGAAAAATAAAACTAACGTCGGATACCTAGATTTAGCGAAATTCACTTACATCTAAGTAAATTGTGCAAAGAACTGTCTCTTTTAAGGTCACCTGACTCAAAGTTGAACATTTGGGATGGCAAGTTCTCTGCCATTTGTCATTATATTCAATTTCATTAAATATCTTCTACTTCTAAACCAAATGCTGGATTTGAACAAATTTTACACTAATGCTTCTTAAGTGACCCTCTACAAAAATCATAAAAATGCTCGCAGTCTGGCGTATAAGTACATTGCGGATAAAAAAATAGCAATGATAATACAATTAATAAAAAAGTACTAACATGGGATCTTAAAACAATTTCTCCTGACACAGCTTTTTATTTTATCACTGAAATAAATTCAGTATACAAAGAAACTTATGTAATATCTATCTTAGTCTATATATGTACATGAATATCACAATGACATGTTCAACATAAATAATAAATTGCCATTCTTACATCCAGTTGTGTAATTCTACTATTTTCAGATGCTTGAAAATATTTACACTTTCCATTTAGGGATGACTGAATGTTATTAAAGATTGAAATTATGTTAACAACAAATATTTACACATATATTTTGGTGTGTAGCAGTACTGTTCCTTTAAATTTATATGTCTCTCTTTTATCATAATTTATAATTTTGTTATTTCCATTTACAAATGACTGAATTTCATTAAGTTATAAGTTTCCTGTTTATCTTTATAATTAGAAATATTTACATATATAGACGTATACAATGTAATGTTAAGCAGGACGGTTCCTTTACTTTTATATGTCTCTCTTTTATCATAATTTATAATTTTGTTATTTCCATTTTACAAATGACTGAATTTCATTAAGTTATAAGTTTCTTTTTGTCTTTATAATTAGAAATATTTTACATATATAGACGTATACAATGTAATGTTAAGCAGGACGGTTCCTTACTTTTATATGTCACTCTTCCATCATGATTTACACTTGAGTTATGTCCACCTCTTTGTGGTACATTCTATGCCCTGAAATTTCCCAATACAGATAAAAGTGTGCAGATATGAATCTTTGCAGCATTGTTTCTCCTCCTTAGATTAAGCGACATCAAGTAACACTGTAGAGCATCCCTTACTCTACCTTCTTGTTCCATACACTTTCCGAGAATATTGAAAGCTGTTTCCCGGTGACCAAGGTTTGGCTCGGTTTTTATGGTTCTGAAAAGTTTTGAGAGAGCAGATTGTTTTTCAATATTTCTCCCAAGATGGCTGTTAACCTTGTATTGTAGAAAGTAGAGGTAAGGGAGAGAATTCACCACAACATTATCCATCCAGTCGTCTTCTTCTGTAAGTAATATTCTGTCCTCCGGTGTAGATCTTACCATTTCATATCTGAGTTCAATGGGTACACAGTGAATTTCACATGGCAGAAACCTGACACATGATGCTGTTGCATACTGTATGGCATCTTCGTTATGAATGTCACATGTCGCAAAGAATCCTTGTCTATGTGCTTTTTTTTCAAAGTCATAACAGCAACAGGCTGGCTCAACAATTTGCAGATCATAGCTTCTTTCAATTTCACTGAGTATTTGGTCAGCTTTTTGAATTTCTTGTACACTGTAAAAGATTGAAGCTAATTTCAGTTTACTTGATGCAACATCTGTATTCAGACCAAGTGAGATTAGTTTCAGGGCATCAACTGATACAGAGTTTTGCTGATTGATGTTGATGGAGGCAAATACAGAACCAAGGGTCGTATTGTACCATGGTGCCACAAGTTGACAGGCTGTCTGAACCAATCCGTCATGTTTATCATTTAATATCTTAGAAATACAGTTTGTCAATGTTTGTACAACTTCATTAGGATGTTTGTTCTTTAAAGTGACATAATTGTTATTAAATGAAATAGAAACACATCTAGCCATGTCGTATAATAAATGTGCTGAAATGCGTTCACTTGTCTTAAATGGACATAAGTTATTTAACTTGTGACGAAGCCTGGAACCAAGATCATCACATTTAATACCAAGTAGTGCCACTCCTTCACTATTGATAATGTTGTTGATTATTGCCAGAATATATGGTTTGACTACAGGTGATATCTTACCCATCATCAAATTGTTCCTTGGAATGATAAAATGTGGGCAGTTTTCATTTATGATATTGTTATACAGGAGATATAAACACAGTGATAAACAAGAAAGTAAATTGTTTTCTCTCCAAATGTAAAAGTGTGAATTGGCAATACAGTGGAAGAGTACAGTTTTACACATGTAACTGGAAATCACATCTTCAAACTGTGGATCAAGGAATGATTTTATAACCATTTTCATTAAGACATAACAGCGAATCTGTGTAATATTCAGGTTAAACATTAAACACCTTTCAGCTAAAGATGTTGAAATTCTCCATTCAAGTTGCCTTATGTCACCCCCTTTACATCCAACAGGAACAACAAAGCATCCTGTTCTACTGCAGTATTGTTTCATTTCAGCAGACGGCCATTGACCTTCACCTTGTTGATCCAACCATTGTCTAGCTTGTTGTGGCCATGTTTTACAGTGCAGAGCTACCACAATGTCTCGATCACTGCAACCATGTGATCCTTGATCTACTCTTGCTGGTCCATGTGATTTTAGTTTGGCTAAATTATCATCAGACATAAAAGATTGTTTTAGCAGTACTTTTCCTGGTCTGTCTTTGAAGAAGGATTGTTTAGATTCTCCATCAGCAGGAAGAGGAGCATCACGTTGAAGCAACTGAAGTAAACAATATCCAGGAGATACAGAATCATCTTGTATCATCAATAGATTAGGTAGACCAGGTATCCATTCACACCAGTCTTGTATTACAGGAATATGATTTAAACAATAAAGTTCATCGGTGTCCGAGTTTATCCCTATGGTAGTTGTGCCTTCTGATTGACTCCCAAAATAGTATAACATATGAGTATATTTATTCCATAATTGGTTATTTACATTTTCAATTGTTTCTGTCAGAAGCCATGCTCTTCTCCTCTTCATCACTATTCTCTCATCAACACCTATATCAGATAGCACTTCAGATAATCTCATTGAAACAGTTCGAGTGTAATTTGGCACTTGATACATTCTGTAAAATACAATTTTTAACATATTAATTTATCTAATTTCTTTTGAATTGATTTTATTTGGTAAGATGATATTTGTTAATTGTAATGATTATTCAAAACAATTTTGCTTTTTGTAAAACTCACTTTCCAGTGTAAAATAAATTTTTTTTATCAATAGAAAATTCTTGTATTATTTATGAATGTGGTTTTTGTTAATAATTATTTTATCAATATGTCTGAAACTCATCATTGATTTCTTATACACATGTACTATTTAATTTCTTATTCTTTAAACATTACTCGTATTATTAGTGTTTAAAATTACCTTTTGTTTCTACATGCAGTGAGGTTTAGAAAATTACAGCGAAGCGTTTCTTTTATTCATTTTGCATTTGTTAATCTGGAATATTAGGTTTTCTTAAGTAATTTTACTTTCTTTTTCTCTTTACGTCTTAATAAGATAACTATTTTATGAATGTTTATTCATCTGACATTTGTTATATACTTTCTTTTAAGTTTTCTCTGTTCTGAATATTGAAGTACAGTCCATTTAAAACATTATTGGAAAGGGTCAATAATGGTAAAATTACTATGAAATAATCTCGCAAACAGTCGGAGTGTAATTAACTAAATAGTTATTTGGTTCTGGAGATTATTTAATGATAATATTAAAATGCTTGTGGGTAAAATTGGTAAAGGGCATGAGTAAATGCAAACAACAGTACCCATTATATTCTATGATACTTTTGAATTTGCTAGCTCTTTATCATGGAAATTCCTGCTATTATAGTTAATGGGTTGGGAACCTGGTTGAACGCATTTCCTGTTCAGCTCTGAGTGCTCAGATGTGAACACGTAATGTTTATCTTTGTTTCATCGTTATTTAACTCGTTATGCACGTTTACAACATTTCCTCCTAAACCACAATCATGGCCTAATTTGATCAACTTCACTGGAATGAACTCCACAAAACTAATATCAATGGTTTAAATCTTATACATGGTAAAGGCACAGAAGCTCAAAAACGACTTTAGGAAATGAAATCTTTGTGATATCTTTGATAAACTTTGATCATTTCCTTGTGTTCTTTAACAAAAGTTATGTAAATCATGCCCCCATTGGGTCAAAATTGGCTGCGCCCTGAGGTCATTTTATTTACATAAGCTCATGTACAAAAACACATTTGAAAATATGTTATAACTATGCCCAGAGCTTGCCTATTCTTCATATAGTTTGCGTAGTAGACATAAAAAATGTCCATATATTGATTTCCTCAGTAAGTCTTAAAATATGTTAAACAAGATCACCAAGGTACGGCGGTGTTTAATGAACGCAACCCACATAAGACCCAGCAACAAGCACCAGTGGCAAGGAGCCCAGGCGGACCCCAAAACAAAGACCAACTCTGACAGATACATAGATTTTTCAAAAACAATTTATTTTCTAACACATTCACCCTAATGATACATCTTTGAAGTATTTATCATCATATTCATTAGTAATAAATTCTTGAAGAATATTAATAGCTTACTTAACATTATGAATGTTATACCAATTGTGTTTTTTCTTTCTCTTTTTCTTTAATTCGGTTATTTATGAAACTCGTTATTACCTTATACGTTTCTAATTCTTCATTTCTCTGAAAGAAACACTTTTCAGTAGTAGAAGAAAATTAACATTTGTTTTTATATGCTGTAAATTGTAAAGAATGAGGTCTGTAGATTCAAACACCTTTCAGGGAAACATCATTTTTTTTATCAATTTCTCAATTGTGAAATGTTGGGTATTTTATAATAATTTTTCTTCCTCTTTCTTTTCAATTTTAAGAAGATAACTCTTTTCATGAATTTTTAAATATATGACATTTATTACCTCCTTTCTTGTAGTTACTTAAATTTCTCAAGATCTTAAAAAGAAACACGGTCCATGGCATGTGTTTCATTAGTCATGTGATTAATGGTATAATTATTGTAAAATAGCTTGAACCCTGAATTTATTTTTTCAGAAAAAGTGAAAACTAATTATACGACAAGATACTATTTTAAAGTATGCTGTATTTTGATGACTAAAACAAGCAAACATAACACAATGATTACAGTTGATGCATAGTATTTAAGTTTTTACCACTTTCTTCCTATTTACTCTATAAGTATGTTGTATTTTTGATAACAAAAAACTAGAATATGTATTAAGGCAATCATATCAGTTTATATAAGTTTTTTTTACCACTTTTCTAGCTTTAGTTTTATATACAGTGTATAAATAATATCAATGATACGCTTTTAATATATCAATACATTATTTTCTATGATCAGTAACAGTCCTAAATTAAATGAACACTGTAGTAATGAATAAATTGATTTAAGTTAATTTGAAAAAAAATAATATGAAAAAATTTGCTTCTTGCTTATACATAAAACATTGTCATGCATCTATAAAAACGATTCCACCTAGACCAGGCTACTTTTTTATTTAAAACAATACTTACGAAATATCAAAATGTGTAAATATTGAAACAATGGTAAAGTTCATAATAATTAGATAAATACGTGGGGAAGTCAGAAAATATCCGGACTTTTGACTCGTTCTCGAAAACCATTCAACATTTAAAAAGATCTTTCTACACTTTTTCAAAATAGTCTCCTCCTACGTCTAAGCACTTTTGCCATCTTTGTGGGATCTTTTGTATTCCCACTGTTAACCATGACGTAGACCTATGTTTTAGGTACTGTGTAACAGCAGATATCAAAGCCGCCCTGGTCTTAAATTTCTTTCAAGCAAGCAATTTTTTCAGTTCTGGAAACAAATAAAAGTCACATGGGGCGAGGTCTGGGCTATGAGGAGAGTGAGACAACAATTGCCATTTGTAAGAATTGATAACCTCCACTGTAGCTGCGGCGGTATGGGAGGGGTTGTTATCGTAAAGAATAGGACATTTTTCTGTGCTAACCTGGGACGCATTTGCTTCAGCTTTTCTCTGAGACTTTTCAGAATTACTTCAGAATAGTACTTGGCGGTGACAGTTTGACCTTTTGGCATGGAATGAGTAAGTATCATTCCTCGTGAATCCCAAAAGGCAACAAGCATGACTTTGCCACCCGAAGGAGACAGCTTAATCTTTTAAGGTGGTTGGGAACCAGCTCGTTTCCACTGCTTTGACTGAGCTTTTGTCGGAATAATGAACCCACATCTTATCTCCAGTAATAATGCGGTTCAAAAACTTATCTCCTTTACGATTAAAACGACTTAAATGTTCTTTTGCATTGGTTACTCTGGTTGCCTTTTGATCTGCGGACAGCTGTCTAGGCACCCACCTGACACTTACCTTGCTTATGCCTAGGTGTTCGTGTAAAATCTTGTGTGCCGATGCCTCACCGATGCTAAACTTGTTGGCTACCTCCTCCAAAAGTACTGGACGATTTTGTTGACAAAAGCTTTAACATTTCCTACCATTGTTGGGGTCACCGCCTCAGCTGGCCGCTCTGTCCTAGGCCTGTCACAAACAGTTGTTCTGCCTTCACGAAACTGAGAAGCCCAGTTGTAGAAGGTTGAACGTGATACACATTTATCAGAAAATCTTTTTTTAAGCCTCTGGACGATTTTCACCTTCTGCAACCAGAAACTTTATTACAGAGCGTTGTTCCTCTAACAAAGAGTCCATGATAGACGAAACACCTATCATATATCAGAGGGCAAAATACTGTGTATACACAACTATCATTAAAAATAAACTAACCACGTTATTGTCGAATGAATGTAGTTTTCACCAATATATAATGTGTGTATATAGCTGCACGTGGAAAGAGAGGAGCATGAAAAGTCCGGATATTTTCTGACCGTCCTTCTTAAATTGATGGTTCTGTCATTTCTTGCATAAAGCATGTGATGTGCCACGTACATTTATAATTATTCACATACCTTTATATTTTTTCTTTATACCAGGTATTTTCTTTAAGTCTGAACGTGTACATTTATATTAAAATATCGTTGAAACAAATTAACTTGTTTGTGAGCTGCCTAATACATCGACTTTCAAGTCTACTTCCTGAAATTTCCCTGTTCTAAAACAAGGTTGGGACGCCAGTAGTGCTCAAACCCCTTGGTCTTTTGTTTATTAGGCAGACACTTTAACCATTTTTGGCAACTTGTACGGGTAAGTGATTCAAAAATGTGTTTATTTCCCACGGTGAGAAATACAATTTCAAGAGTGAAGCTTTAATAAACTTATTTGATATTTGAGCTAAAATGAAATAGAAATATTGAATGAGTGTATGTTAAATATTAAATTTATTGGACAGATTGAATAAGATTATATTGTATATTAATGTAATTTTAATAAACGAGTTCAATAAATGTAGTAATGAAGCTACATAAATGTAATATTCTACTACTGAAAATAAGAACTGTTTATGGTAAAAGTGTCATATTTTCATTGATGTTCCAGTGTAATGCTAACATCTAGTGCATCTTTAAGCTATGTTTCATTATATTTAAACGTAAATGATGTCACGTCAAAATACATACACAGCGGAACCATATACGAATGAGAATGATGAACAATTACATACGTGTTTGTTTCTCTGTATCAAAGGATGAGTTGCTGTTTCGAGAGTTTATGGAGCATGTACACCCCAAACAAAACTGTCTTCACAATATATATGGATCTTAAAGGAGGAAAGATGGACAATATTGATTATCTATTCAGGTAGGAGGATAAATGAACTATATAACATAAGTGTTATGCATGTATATATACTGCAAATAAAGAAGTATATATAAGTTGTATTTGGTACTATATAAATAAAAGCAAAATGAGTAATGCTATTAATCATATTGCATATATACGGAATATTATTCTTTCATAGCTTTCATGTATTTGAATCCTACCAGCGGGATATGAAAATAATTATCTTGCGAGCGAGATTTAATTTACTGACACTTCAAGTAGTAAGATATATGACTTAAGAAATCCACTACACTATACACTATAATTTTCCGTAAGAAAAATACATTTATGAC